GCAAAATACCAAAGGGAGAAATACTTAACGAAAACGCTTTACTCGTCTTGCAGGTGCTTGACATGTAGACGTTGTCTCCAACCTCTAATTGAGCTTCGTCTTGCTTTTTAGCACTTTGGTGCTTTGCTTGCGAGTGTTTACTTCTGTTTACGTACTTTAGTGCTACGATTTTTTTTTTTAAAGCTCGATTGCGCTCCGCTTGCACTTCGGTGATGGCTCCAATTTCAAACGCTATGCACACTTAACAACACGAAAACATAAAATCCTAAACTTAAAATTAAAATAAGAATATAACTTTAAATTAACTAATTTCGCCAGAAGTCCCCGGCAACGGCGCCAAAATTTGATGGGTTGTTGAACACACCAAAATTAAACACTAAACTATACCAAATTCTTTCAGAATAATAGCAAGTCTAGGTATCGATCCATAGGGACAATTGTGAAATTAAACTAATTTAATTGATAAATTCCTAAATTAATTTTGATGAAAAGAATGATTAATCATAACCTAATTTAATAACGAATAAATTAAACTAAATAATTAATTTATCAATTATAACTGAAAATGGATTTACTGAATTGGGGAAAAACCTAGGGCGAAAAGTCCACCACTAGTCACGTAAATAGGGTTTTTAAATTGAAAACAATTATGCTATGGTTTGAACAGAATAATGCTTCGTAACTACAAATTCAAAGCATTTAACAAGAAAATCATCACGTTCAATGTACGAGCACGAACCATCTCAAGTAGTATGAATCGTTCACTCTAAACTAAAGTAGTGATGCGACTCGTCTCTCGTAGTATGATTTGTCTCATACCTTGAATGTGAAAGAATAGAAAACTCTTGTATGGAAAACATTCAACAATCACAGAAAGCCGAATATTTGAAGAAATAATGGAAAATATATATATGAAACTTCTAAAACACCATACAAGTGTTCAAACCTTTACATAATTGAAAATCAAAAAGAAAAACCTATTACATGGCTAGGGTTTCATCAAAATCCTAGAAAAGGAGACTAGCCACTCATGGAGGAGCGGAAGGGGGTAGATGGAGAAAAAGCCACCATAGGAGACATGCCTGAAGCTTCAAGTTCCTCTTCTTTTCAAATCCTAGCCTCCCTTTCTTGACAAAACAACTCCAGAACCCTAATCCAGCCTTTTTCTTGCCTATTTATACTTCTGGTGTCTTTCCAAACAGGTTTAAAACATCTGGCACGTTTTCCGAGAAAAAGTCAACGCACGTGCAGACAAAGTCAACTCTCACCAAATTCTGTCTTTTTGCCCATTTTATGCTCAGACTATGTACAACTTGATTGACATTCAACACACAAAGTATACATTTTGACAAGCAAGTGAAGTTAAGAGATCGTAATTAACGGCCTCAATGATGTACAATTCGGCCTTAATCAATATATTCTAAGAAAAGAACAAGCACATCGAAATCATCGATCTCTCACATTTTGTTGCTATTTTAAACTTAAATTGAAATGATCATTCATCAACTTCAGTTCATCACTCCTTGCAAATAACTTTAGCTAAAAATAAAATAATAATAATAATAATGATAAATCCATTCATTATGGAGTTTAGGTTTCTCTTTCATCTTTTCCAAGGAAATAGATGATTCTGATTCATTGACTTGTGCAATTAATCATGGTTAAGAATATCAACGTAACATGTTGATATAGTGATCTTAAATGGAATTGACTTAACCTATATTAAATCTCCCCTCTAGCACGACTTTAAGAGCACCATATGCATATTTCACCGTAAAATTTATAATTATATGCATGTTTATGTCGATACTTCCAGCTATATCAGAACAAAATGAAAGGTGAGTTAGTTATAGTATATATGATTCTCTATAGTTAAATCTCTATATCTTATAGTATCTATATGGTTGCAAATTAGTAAAATTTTTAATACTCTAATGGTCGTGAGTATAGGGACAGCAAAATAAAAATATTCTTAGTCTAATTCTAGTGATTTGAGGTTAGAGCCACCACCATTGTGTTTGAGTCTGTTTAATACAATTTATTATTTATTATAAGTTAAAAGTTAACAATTAAACAATAGAAATGAAAAGTATCATTCCTTAAACATTTAGAGATAATCAATTATTTTTTTAATTTTTTAAATTATTTTTACTTAATAAATATGTTATCATAATTAATAATAATAAGAAACAATTCAAATAAATTGCATTAACCTCTTCTATATCTTGTTTGCTTGAAATTCATATTTGAACAACCAAAGAGAAAATATACTATGATAATGTGAGCCATGACATAAGTCACTGTTTAATGTCACCGGGTATTCTTGTTCACTAGTTTCTTAATAATTATTCATCAAACAATGGCAAGAAGTCATTTTTCAAGTATATCCAAGTAGGTGGTGAAACAAGATAGTAAAAGAAAAATCAATGGCATAAGTCATTTTTCAAATAGATATAAATTTGAAAATCCTATAAATCAATGCAAACCTTAAGCGCCTTTATTCAAGGCAAGTGTAGAAAACACAAGAAGTAAATCACTCAAAAGGGGGAAACAGAGAATGGGGGGGAGAGACAGAGAGAGCGACAGACACAGATAGAGACTGTGAAAGAGAGGTCGAGCAAGAGAGAGGGAGAGAGAAGCCTGCAATACGTGTACAAAGCATCATATATACACAGAGACACATTAAACATCATGTTCAAAATTTTTAATCAATTACAGCCACATTTGAATGAACCCTACAGCAACAATGTCAGAAATGGGAGAAAAAGAGAAAGGGGAGAGAGAGAGAGACAGAGACAGAGACAGAGACAGACAGACAGATAGTGTGAGAGAGCGAGAGATGGACGCACAGACAGATCGAGAAGGATAGTGCGAAAGCGCGCGCACGAGAGAGAGAGAGTGAGAGAACATGTGATGTGCGGCTGTGACGGTGCTCAAACGGACTAAATGTTAGCCCGGTCGAGCGGCCAAGTTCCCTGCCTATCCCGGTTTCTGCTAAAGGTTTTGATAAACTAGTAAATTGCTCGGTCTTATTGTATTTTGGGATCAAAAGGCAATTTGGAGCCCGGTCCGCCCCAATTCTTCGTGTATTCATGTGTTCATCACTAGGATTGAAAAACAACGAAGAGAATAGGAGTGAATGTGGGTTTTGGGAGGGTTATGTCCTAAAACCTACGGATTTGGTGCCCTAAAAGGCGTAATGTTGTCGTTACATGAGATAAATTGCTTGAATGCCTGTGGGTGGAGGTCAAATTGCTTAAATTGGGATAATGCATTAAAGCTATATTTGTTTTAAACCCACCGGATAGTGGCAAAACTGTCTTTTCCAAAAACCCACTTGAGGGTAGCAAAATCTGCATTTTAGCCTACTCATGAGTAGCAAACCATTTTCAAAACGAACATAGAATGTTTTGTTCCAATTTAGGCAATTTGGTCTATACTTGTTTGCTGCGCGTATAACATAGTAATTATAGGCTAATAATTGGGATAAGAACACATAAAGTTTTCAAAAACGGATATCACGGTTAGTAGAGGCCGGTCTTCGGACCGGGCGAAAGGGGGTGCTCATAGCTGACCTTCCCCGATCGTACCCAAGCTCCTGAGCCGAGACAACTCCGGTGATGACGGACATGTGGCCTTCGGCACCGAGTCAGGGTTTCCTAAATTTTCCCATTTTAAAATATTTAGGTGGCGACTCTGTATCTGGCAAAGCAGTCCATGTTTGGCACTACTTTTTCAAAAATCTGTTTCTCAAAACGATTTGCCAGATTTGGACTCTTTGGTTCAGATTTAGAACCGTGACCACAAAGTCGAGTCCGAGCTGTAGCGAGGTCCCCCGCGGGCTTGTTACACCCTCGGGTTCAACCAACTGCATTTACATTTTGTTTGTTTGTCTAAGTCTTCGGCGTTGTCAAAAATGAGTCGTCTCTGAGCTTTGACATTTACTCACGTTATTTCATGACTTCTGAGTTCTGTCAAAGAGGGGCAACTGTAGACACCCCATTTCGGAATGACATGGATTGTTGTACATATGAGATCATTTTTCCATTGAATTGTACATATTCAAAACTCTTTTAAAATTGTATAAAGATCAAAGCATTCCAAAGGAAGTAACGTAGTCTATACTTGTTTTCTTCACATAGTAATGTTAGCATTATTAATAAATCAGAACATGAACATATAATGTCTATAAGATTCACATCATGACTTGGTAGAGGTCGATCTTTGGCCAGGTGAGTGGGATACTCAATTCATGACCTTCCCCTCTTATACCTAACTAAGTTCCCGAACCAAGATACTTTGGTTATGACAGACAAATGGCCTATGGCACGAGTCAGGAGTTTCTTAATTTTTCTAAAAATATTGGGTGACGACCCTGAAATCTGGAAATGCAACCCATTTTTGGCATAGCTTGTGATTAATGGATTTTCTAAAGATTTGCTGGATCTGAACTCTCATGACGAACAAGTGGCCTATGGCACGAGTCAGGGGTTTCCTAATTTTTCCAAAAATATTAGGTGACGACCCTGAAAGCTGGCAACGCAACCCATTTTTGGCATATCTTGTGATTAATGGATTTTCTAAAAATTTCCTGGATCTGGACTCTCATTTATTTTTCTATTTCACATTGCATTTGTGAAACCAAATTTAGAACCACGAGAGTCCAAATTGTAGGGAATCGTACCCTAGGAGACTAAACTCCTCCGAGGTGCAAGAAAAACCAGCTACACTAACCTTTTTCGATGGATGAGGAATTATTAAATAATGAAATATCAACCGAACAATACATGAGTTAAACAATCAATTAAAAGTAGTTTTAATTAACCCCAAGAAAAATGTTTCATCAACTTACCAAGTAAAATATGAAAAATTATTACCAGAGTACATAAGCGGTTGATTGAAAAATTAAAACAAAAAATAAACACAAAATAAAAATAAAATAAAGTAAAAAACAAGTGAATAAGTAAAACACACACAACATAATGAGATGCAAAGGATACCTTAGTTTCTTTTTTCCGACTCCACTCATACCATCAAAACTTTCAACTTCTAAGTAAACCTATATTATTCCAAATGAAAAAAACAATTATAAAAGCATTTACTATTGTTTTTAAGTGTTGGAAACTATTTACAATTCAGAACCAAAAAAATAGTGAACCTTAATCTAGACGAAGATAAACCAAAGCAAAGAGTGTACATCCATAAGAAGAAAAACATGTCCAACAATGACAATGAAATAGAAAAATTACTCGGAGATTGAGGGGACCTGTCTCTCGTCCCTATTGAGTCCCAATCCTTTGAAATGATAAGCAATGTGATGAAGAATGGCTTAGCCAGGTGACCAAGTTGCTTTAGTCTCTGTGTATATACAAGAACCCCAAGTTACATCAATCTATCAGGCAACTAATTACAAATCAAGAATTAAAACAAACACACCAACATGCAAAAAAATGTTTCATCAATCTCTATAAATCATGTTTTTGTTGGATATTCATCTCAGCTCTACTTGTTTCCATGAAAAGTATTTTTATATGAAATTATCTTTCTAACTTGGAAAGAGTAAAAACACATTGGTAAATATCTAGAAGAATTAAGACGAACATACCAACATACAAAAAAATGTTTCATCAATCTCTAAATTATGCTTTTTTCTATATACCTGACATGAAACACATTTTTATATGAAATTAACTTTCTAACTCATAAGGAGTAGAAAAGCGTCAATAATCCCTCCATTGGTAAAGCCATGGACTAATTTTATTTTTATGATTATATATATATATATATATATGTATAAAATCCATTTCCAGCAAAACTTTTAATTCCCCCATGCGGTAAAGGATCTCAATCTATAAAATGATACCAAATAAATAAAACTGGGCTTTTTTTTTTTTCCTGTAGAACCCTAACCCAATAGTTCTAAACCTGGGGATTTTTTTAACTTTTGAGATCGTTCGACAAAGAGAATAGAGAGTGGTTTGGTGACTGTAAATTACCTGAAAATGCTTCGGATCTTTGATGACTGCTGCTCTACTCTGCAGCGACTAATTTGCTTTTCCTTCACCCTTGTCTCCCTGGGTATGAGGCTAGGGTTTTTTGTTTGGGAGTCTCCGATTTGTAGGATTTTATGAGTAAAAGAAGGGTAAATTACGTTTTGCACCCTTATAATTATACTTATTTATAAACTCAACCGTAACGATCTATTTAATTATTATCGTATAAATCTACTCATTTTGAAACTTATTTATAAACTCAACCGTAATGATCTATTTAATTATTATCGTATAAGGGTTGGTTTGGAATGTTCTAAAAAAATACACTTTTTGACTTATTGGCTTATATGGGTTGTGTTTGGATTTGGTTTGATGTAATGTGTTAGAGAGGTGATGTGATTTAAATAAGATGATGTGACTTAAATAGGATAGTGACTTTTTGACTTTTTGTATTATTTAGTGTATCCCAAACCAAGCCTAAATCTACTCATTTTGAAAGTGACTTGGAGATGGTTTGCGAGAAATGAAAGTGATATATTTTTATAGTTGAAATGATTAAAATATACGGATTTATAATTGAGTGGAGTAAAGTAATATTCTTAGTGTAAAACTTTTCAACTTTCACTCCTATAAATTGACTTAAATTTATTTTAAATTTCTATTGTTTTAATTTGAATAATTTGATTTATACATTTTTAAGTCCATCTTCAATTTGACATTTCTGTTAATTTTTCGTATGTGTACAACTTAGTCTATGTTTGGATCATTTTCTTCATTTTCCGTCATATTTTCAAATGCATAATCCAAACATAGCATTACAAGATTGAAAAATGTCTTAAAATCATTAATTTCAACTTCTAACTTGAACAAAATGACCAAATTAAAATTAGACTTAAAATATAGAAATTAAACCATTTAACTTGAAATAATTCAGACTAAAATAAAAATTAGATCAAATTACAAAGTTGAAAGTGTGATTTGATAGAAAGTTAAGAATTTTTGCAGTATAGGTAAGCCATTTTAATTCTTGACTCAATTTTATATTAAATTTAAAATGTAGTAAAAATTATACCAAAATACTTTTCCTTCTCGACTCAAATTTATATTAAATTAAATTTATTTAAATTTTTACCCAAACTAAATAAAACTAAAATATTTATTCAAAATTTTCAAAGTCGTAAATTTAAGTTTAAATTTGAGTTTATTTATTGAAATAAGTCATATCAAATAAAATTTTGATTAAAGGTTAGAGATAGTCTTACAAATTTTTATCGTTAATTTATGGATTTTGTGATAAGTAAAAATAAGCTATATATTTTGGTGCAGAAAAAATGTCATGCCAATTTATGGTTCATGTTGCAACTTTTTATTGTGTATTTACAAATGAGTATGGCATATGTATTCTTTTAAGAGTGTACATAATTACATTTTTCAAGTATTATACGTGTTATACTTATTTATTTTGATAATTTATTTAATTATGTTTTAATTTATTTGGAAGAGAAAAATAGAATTAAAATTTATTTTGATGATTTATTTGAAAGAGAAAAATATAATCAAAATTTATTTTGTCCTATTATTTCTCACATAAACCTTTATCCGAAATGTTGTTAGAATGTATTTAATATTTGATTAAATCAGGAGTTCAAACAACCCAAAACAAAGGTTCAAAAAGTTCAAGTGGAAGATATTCAAATTAGTAATGATGGAAGTACAACGGCTATAAACGGCTATAAAGGTTCAAAAGGCCAAAAGGTTCAAGTGGAAGATATTCAAATTTGTAATGATGGAGTGGAAGATATTCAAATTGGTAATGATGGAAGTACAACGACTATAAACAACTATAAATTCAAATGACTACAACGGCTATAAATGGCTATAAACGGCTATAAATTCAAATGAATACACGGCTATAAACGGTTATAATTTTCATTATATATACCAAAGCCTCTAATGTAAACAAGTTACAAAAGTAAAAACCTGAAAATATTCTTTGATCTATAATCACTCACATCTATTCTCAGAAATTATACACTGAGCCTTATAGCATTAAGCTCATCTTTCTTGTGTGAGATTTACAAAAAAATTAAAATTTCATTTTATATATCTATCTTTGAGAGATATTTATTGTATGCTTTCTTTGAAAGCAAAAATATCATTTCATCTTGCAAAAGTGTTCCAAACACTGTATTCTTGAAATCTTGAGAATGATTGTGAATCACCTAAGATTTGCAAGGGTTTAGGCTTGTGAAGTCTGTGTAAAATCCGTGGAGGATTGTTCCATTTGTAAAGAGGTTGCTAGCACCCATGTGAAGCTAGAAGATAGTGAAAAATCTCAAGTGAAACTTGAGAAATTGATGTAGGCTTGGTTGAAGCCGAACCACTATAAATCTGTTTGTCTCCTCTTCCATAATCTCTTTACTTTCCTACTACTGCTATAGCTATCTAATATTCATGTGTTAATCATTTTATTTACCCTGTATGTTAGTTATACTTCATTGTTATTTTGCTTGATCATTTAATGCTAAGTTCATCATTGTGCTTGTTAATAATTTGTTGTACTAGTAGTTAATTTTATTGGGGTATTATTAATTTTAATTTGTAGAAACCTAATTAACCCCCCATCTTAGGTTGCTTTTTGGATAACAATACATATCAGAAAAAATATGTATACGGTTATGTATTTAAATTTCAACTATAGTGGTTTATAATTCTCATCAAATTGGATTATAATGAAACCAAATTGAGTATAATATTGGTTTAACTGTTTTCAAAAATAATTTTTGAGCTTTCAATCCATATTTTTGAGTTTTAGTGATTTTTTAAAATATGTTAATCAATTTGTATTTTTTACTTTTTAGATCTATTTAATATACATACATTTAAAAAGTACAAAATTTGTCAATCTTTTTAAAAATTCACAAATACAAAAAAAAAATTAAAAAAACTTCAGTACATTTTTTGTATTTATCAATTTTTTTAATAAATATTTTTCATAGATATTTTACTTTTTAAATGCATTTATATTATGTGCATCTAATTTTTTTTTAAAAAAATGACTAAAATATGAAAAACAAAAAACTGAAAAAACTAAAAAAATTATTTTTAAAAACTCAAAACCAGCAGAGTGAATATCAATTTGGATCATAACTAAGTTTATGACAAAATTTACCACTACAAAACCTCATAAGTAAGTAAACGTACCACGTAATTTACAATTAAGACCACAATCTTTATAATTAAGAGTGATGTGTATTATAGATTTTTTTTTTCTTTGAGAAAATTAAGGTAAAAGTTTTGTAATAAAATTTACGAGAAATCTATTAACCCTTAGTACCGAATAGGTTTGTATACTAATAGGGTATCACATGATATTACATTCCACTAATCACAAATATATATACCCCTATTATTCTACAAACACCCAACAATATGCCCCATACTTCGTTACTTTCCACCAATCACAATAGTAAAACGATGTGCTACATATAAAGAGATGAAGGTAGCTTTTAAACTTTTAACATTTTCAATGACTATTTTACGTTTGATTTAAATTATACATATCATTATTTATTTGCTTTGACTGTTTTATCTTTTTTTGGTTGAAGTGTGAAGTTTCATGCTTATATATTTTGTGTCACACTTTTAAATATGAATATTCATATTAATACCTTTTATTTTATTTATTAAAAATATAAATATAAACATTTACAATTTTCACACAAGAATTTTCATTTGGCAAAAGAAAAATACTATTTATTATCTCCATACTAGAAAAGGGAGTATTGGACATGGAATTTTTTGCGACGGTTTCAAAATCGTCGCAAAAAACATGTTTTTGCGACGGTAAACAACGTCGTCGTCAAGTAAAAATTTTTGCAACAGAAAATCGTAGATCATGACAAAAAATAGTATTATACGCGACAATTTGTCACCCGTCAGTTTTTTATTTTTTATTTTTTATTTTTTTGCGATTGTTTTTTGTTTTTCTAGATTCATATATTTGTTCTTCAACTATTTCAAACCATGCTTTTTTTCAAATTGTTTTGGCCAAAGACTTGTACCCAGTTTGGTT